GATAAGATTCTGGAATTAATTATAAAGAATCCTTCCCATGGTAAAATGTTTTTGTTTTGAATTCTTTTTAAAAATAACATAATAAGATAAGAGTTCAAAAAGTGGACACTAGAGGAAACTAAAGATTATAATTAAAGAAGAAGAATACTCAAACTCAGCAAAGTGACAGTCTCTTCAGCCAGTTTGCATTGGTATTTCAGGTCAAGTTTGGGCTAGGGAGGGATATGTCTAGGCAGACATTTAGGAGATACAGCTTCCCAGATACTTTATAAAGATGCCCCTGATGCAATTATGCCTAATATTTACGTATAAGGCACGGTTTTACAGCTGGTGATTTTGGGGACAGAAATTTACTTGGCCTTAATCATTCACATTATCTTTCACATTATCAGAAATATACTGAGAGAATGTACAGTACTGTGAAATTGTACTTCTGGGAGTTTAATAATTCCCTGTAGATTCTTAGCAGTGTAGATTCAGAAACCAATGGACAAATGTCACACTGGTATTCTTGTATAGGTGACTTGATTAACATATTACTGTCATTAATTTAGGCATTTATGTAACTCACCCATTTATGATTGTTTCATTGCATAAAAACCTCAAGAATTGGAAGTGCTTATGTATGAAATCCAATAGTATATCAGTTACATTGGGAATAACTGCAAAATTGTAATTTTACACTGTGTTGCACTGGATTATTTAATTGTTAAAATATTACCACTCATATCTGGAGATGGGAGACCCGCTTTCATGTCTCGGCTAATTTCCATGTTTGAAATAAAATTTGGGGACCCATCCCCCATTATGTTATCTTTCTCTCTCTAGCACAGAGACGTGCACAGAGAGACACGTATATGTTTCTCTATGCAGAGGCAACATGGGGTTTGTTGCAGGCAGGTACTATAATTTTAGCTGTATACTCCTGATGAGCTTCAAGTTCCCAGATTGCAGTTGTGCATTAATGCTTTTCTTCATGGCTTTGGATAGTCCTGAAACTCAGGCTATGAGAGTTATCATTTTGAAGAAATACTAACAGATATAATTATGCTTCAGTCTAAAAAAGATTATCCCTGAGGTTAGTTTGGTTTGTTTTTCATTAATAGAGAGCTCAGCTATTCTCTGTTAGCATCCTATACAGAAAATTCTTTAAGACAAATGATGCATGAGAAAAAAATGACAAAGGTCTATGGTCTGGTTCTGTGATTCTTGCAGTTTGTGATTCTTGCAGTCTTGAGTACCCTATTCATTGTGGGGAGTGAGCTCACGTTTGTGTTATTAAAGCTCCATGGTGCTCCATGTGTGGGCTGTAATAATTGAACAATGTACTGTATGATTTCAAGCATATAGGTGGTGAAAGTGGGTCTGAATCACTCATATAAAATCCAGAGATCAACTGTGTGATCTAAAATCTGTTTGTTGGGTTATATTGCACACATACACATACACACACATCCCACCCCATCCATCCATCCATCCATCCATCCATCCATCCATCCATCCACACACTATATAT